AAAAGTGTTGGGCCCCTTCCTGCATGTGGACTTCCCCTTAGTATTCTGAATCCAGGTCTTACCCACTGGATAAGAATAGTATTTTTTTCTGAAGTTAGAAGCTCATTTCATTCCTATCTTTACAGCAGGGTCTTATAGTTTCTTGTATTTTCCTGAGTGAGCACTTTCATTTGTCTCTCAGCCACTACCTTATCCGATTTGTCCTAGAGCAGAATTCTGTGAACCTGAAATTACAGAGGATTTGCTTTGGATAATTATCTGCTGTCCAGGGCTTAAGACAGAGTTGGCTCCATGGTTCTTACTGCCAGCCTCATAGAAGCCATTCGTTACAAACACCACTAGCTTCCCTAGCTTCTGTAAGTTAAATTCATCATGGGTCTTGAGAATCATCAGTTTTTAGGATGTTTCTGTCTGCAGAGTTTTTGGTTTGAATGGATGGGTCACAAAGGTTTCTTTTTGCAGAGGTTACCATATCTCTGCCACTACTGCATTGACTTGGGGACTATGATGACAGTACAGGTTCCAGGATGCTCTAGAATTTCAGCACCTGACAGTTAAACCTCTTTCCTTTGTCAGGAGTTTCCCACTGCTCCCTAATGACTTCTTCAAAAGGAGGAATGCAAGGGAATTGCAACTTGTTTTATAGTTTTGCAAAGGAGATATTTATCCTTAGATTTAGCTTGCTCATTCTCTCTCTCAGGTTGGATATCAGTGGCAGGCACCACCTTTCTCCATATGGATTTGGTTTGAATCCATACACCACACACACATGAGCATTTTTTAAAAAAAAATAAGAAATTGGATATTTAATTTAAAAATCAGACAAAATATTTTTCTTTTTAAAAATAAACAAATTTAGAATAAAATTTGAAATCAGAACAACTTACGTTAAGGCATAAACTATTGAAATAATTTGCTGCTGCTCAAGTTTAAAAGAAAATTCAACCACTGCATTGGTGGAAATCACTGGCTAAGACGTGGCTTCAGACGTTGCTGAAGTGCTAAACCATCTTTTCGCAGAATCAGCCTCTTCTGCAGGTGAAAAGCGAATATTTTCTTTATTTCTGTTTAATCAACTAGTTCATTCATTTGCTGAGAAGCGAACTGGGAATTGAAAAAGCAGAAAAGCTTGTTTTCCTCTACCAAACTATGAATAAAAACAAGGTGTGAGAGGATAAAGTTTACTAGTTCTAAAAACTTGAAGGACATGGTAACCCAGAATGAATCAGTTCAATTTCACTAACTACAGATATTTCCTTTGTTTAATAAATCAGTTAGTTTTAAATGCAAAAAACATGTACCTTGCATATTTAGTTTTATTTAACTAATAAAAAACATATTAAAATTGTTTGTGCATTTTAACTGAATTCCAGTTTACATCCAAATGCAGCTTAAAGAAATAACATGTAAAAAAAAAATCTTGTACATAAATACGTAATTTCAGACAAATGTAAAAATTAAGAAATCTGAATAAATGCAAGTTAAGGCATAGAATTGCTTAAATAAATGAATATCAATATAGTGTATCTTCCTGGTTAGCAAAAAGAAATACCAAGTTTAGTGTAAAGGCTATATTCAGTAGTTGTAAGTCAAGATATTTTAATAGTTATACCAATCAATGAAAATTAACCTCTCCGTATATACTCATTCATAAGCCGAATTTTTTTAGCAAAAAAGGGAAGCACCAGAGAAGGGGGTTGGCTTATGAATGGGTATAGAGAGGGAGAGGTGGGACACAGCCCCTCCCCTCCAACAGAGGGAGCAAGGAGAGACAGCACAGCCAGCAGAGCCAGAAGGGAAGAGGCGGGGCCAGAGTCTCTCCGCTTCTGGCCACGCTGCTCTCCCCCCAGCCTACGAAGCAACTGCAGCTCCAGGGCTGGCAGGCTGAAACCGTGCCGCTCTGCCCCGCCCCCCAGGAGCAGGCCGTGGCCGCGCCGCCCGGCCCGCCAGAGCACGTTGCAGCCGTGCTGCCCGGCCCAGCCCACTGGAACATGCTGCAGCCGCACTGCCTGGTCTGGCTTACCAGAGCAGGCTGTAGCCACGCTGCCCAGTCTACCGGAGCAGCTCCAGCCAGGCCAGAAACATTCTCCCCTGGCCCTTCCCAGATAAGGTGGGAAGGAATGGGATGGGGAAAGTGGGGGGGTCCTGGGCTAGGGGTGGGGTCATGTGGGGGGTGGTCACGGGGGTTACTCCCCTGACCCCCAGCTTCTCCCCTCCCAAAGTATTTCCCCACCAGTTGCTGTCCCAGCCTATCAGGGTAAGCAGCTGATGCGCCGGGACACTTTGTTTACTTAGGTTTACCTCCAAGCTTGCGGACGCTCGAGGTAAACAAACCATCTCGGCCCTCCGACGGCCTGGGAGCCAAAGTTTGCTGACCCCGGAATTATAGGGTCGGCTTATGAATGGGTCATAAAATTTTTCTATTTTTACTTATCCATCTTGGGGAGGTTGGCTTATAAACGAATGGGCTTATGATCGAGTATATACAGTAACTAAAAAGTCAGTTTCCTGCTTGCTTACTTAAATCATAATACAAGTCATTTGAAGTCACTTTGATTAAAAAGCAAAATCAATCCACTCTTATTCAAACATGCCTGGGGAAGAAATGTTCCTGCTTCTCCATCACAGGATTTTCAAAATCCTGAAGCAGATAGTGCTCCTTCCTTGATGGTGGCATTAGAACTTATGGAAAGAGGACAATCTGGTGCAATTCTTGGCTTTCCCCCCCTTAGTTTTTAGTATTTATTTTGTTTTTGTGAGGAGTGGGAGAGGTCATCATTTCAGTAGGACTACCCCCTTTTCTTGTCTCCATTTTGGGTTACAGTCAGCATCTCTTCATCATCCAATATATAAGTGGAAAGGAAGTGAAGGGAAATATCCCTAAGAGAGCATAGGATCTCTCTCTCTCAGTAAGGAGACTCCAAGAATGTTTGATTCCTTGCCAAGTGATTCAGTTATCCACTTAAGAATCTGGGATGATCCTTGAGCTTTTTCTTTTCCAGGTGAAATGGAATGGGGATTCAGAGAATTTTTTTTAAATACTTCTCCCTCACTGATGTCCTTGATAGATGAAGGAGGTCTGGTTTTCTTAGTCACAAGAACCAAAAAGGACTGAACCACTCTCAAGTTGTTTCTAAGAAAGCTTTGGCTCGTGTGGGGCAGGGTAGGCTGAGGCCTTAACAAATCCACGCTCTGAATCCTTTCCCTAGCAAAATAAGAGTCCATGGACTGGAGCGATTGTGGCAGAGCGCCCTTCTATGTCTCCTGAACTTTGGCTTGCTCTGTGTCTTCTCCATGATGGGAGAAAGGAAAAGGAGAGCATGAGCTCAGTGGGTGAGGCCATTTAAGAAACAAAGCTCCCCAAATTTCTGTCCCCTAAAGGATGAGAAAGGATTTTTACTTGTCACTCTCTCAAAATAAGCAATAAAGGCAGAAGAGCTGAATGCTGCCTTTTTTATACTACTAGAGGCAGAGAATGTATTGCAAGGACAGGAATGTGAAGCCTCAGAAACAGTATCTGCATCAACAGACGAGACACACTACCCAACTCACAAACTAGAGGGGAAGGACCAGGAACCAGAAAAATGCACTAGTTGGGACACAGTTACTAAGACTAACTACAAACTAGTTCAACTGCTTTTTCAAAAACTCATACTTCGGTCCACACATTTTGCACTTTCGATCCTGTGGATTTTATGACCAAGCACTGGCATTTCAATAAAAAAGGTACGTTTCTTTATTCAGGCCACCGAGTGCCTTTTTATTATTTTATAAACAGTGGCAGCTTAGCAGATTTTGATGCCAGCAGCTTAGCCAACTTTGTATATTTTTGGCAGATGTCTAAACACAAGGTGTGAACAAAACAGCTCTCTACTGATAAAGCTTTGATCACTGAACTGATGCCAAGTACTTTTAGCAACAAAGTCATCAGCAAGAGGTTTTTGTAGCCACAATGGTCCTCAGAAAAGCCTGTTACATCCAGCTATTCTAGCTTTCACCCAACTGTTTGTCCAAGAGCCTGATTCAGGCAGACACCAGCAGAGGGATGACAGTTTGATACTCCTTCACTGAGCAGTTGCAGGAGCTAGCACAGCGTACACTAGGCAGTCCTCTGGGCTGCCCTAAATTCAGCCCCTCTTTCAACATGCTTTATTGTTTTTTGCAGGCACACATGTCTGCCCTGAAAATGCCTCCTACACTGCCATGGAAGAGGCAGAGAGGTCCCCTTGCACCAGGGCAATTCTCTATGGGAGGAGGTCTAAGGCTGCCCAATGGCTTCTTCGAGCCAGCTGGCACATAAGCCTACCAGAGTTGCTATGGATTGTTGTGACCAGAAATGGGAGGGCAGGTGGTCCATGCAATACTACTGAAGTGTGGTCCACCTTATAAAAATGCTTGAGAATCCTTGCTCTGTGTTATGTATACACAAAGAAGAGATTAAAATCTCTTTAAATGCAAATTTCGATGCAAATTTACCTAAAATGCCTCAAGCTAATTTATTCATAAAAAACGGAAAAAACACCCAGTCATTAACTCTGAGCCTCAAATGTCCCCTTTAAAATGGGGACAATATACACTTGTATAAAATTAACGTAATTCATAAGTCTAGCTATACAGGCCGCACTGGAAGAAACTGATTGAGATGGCTTCTGTTACTTGTAAAATTCAGTGTATGACATGGAAAAAAATTTATCAGCAAGTTATAATCTTTCTAATAAATTAATTTTGAGCTACAATGTTGTCAGCCTTAATTAGTGGCTGATCAGCAGTGATTTTCTCAGATGGAAATGTGTCTTAAACACGGCTCTCAATCCATATGGACTTATTCTATCTGGGAGCAAATGTTTTCTCCAAAAGTCAAAGAAGAATTTCTTGGGAAGTAATCATTTTATAACCATAAGATTTTTACATCACACATTCATGACTTTGAAAATGCCTCAAGAAAATCAAGTTCTAAAGTAAAAAATTTCGACCAAGTAATATTTCATTTGCAGGCATACCTAAATGGAAGATATGGTGGATTAGATCCAGATAAAAGTGCTCTGTATGCTTCTTCTGGTGTTTTCTTTAAGTAAATTACCTGGAAAAAAAAATGCAACCAGTCATTAGAAAACAGCCACTGGATTCAACCGCAAAGTAGTCATGGAAAAAAAAATATCATCAAATTGTACGATGTATTTCTTCGGACATTGTAATACTGTAATCTGTATTTGTCATTTTAATTAGCATGTAATTTATTCCCTCACCCATTATTATGTAGACCTAATAGGATGTACCTAAACAGAAATTCGCTTCAACAAAAGTTACAAGTAAACAGAAATATTGTTTATAGATTATTGCAATCTAGAGGCACACCAAGGAAGACTCAATACAAAACTAAAATCAAAATCAAAGAGTAAACTATTCCTATGATTTAACCTCCGATTAGAAAATCCACGAACAGATCTCCATTCAGTGACTGATGCATTTCTTTCCTATGCCTTCACCAGCATAGGTTATTGAACAGGATGCTCCCAACTTCACCTCACAGAAGAGATCTCTGATACTGGGACACTCTTCAAAAATGCAGTAGATGTCAAGTTGAATGCACTTGCACCCTGGGGGGCCTGAGAACCTGCAGACTCATAAAATGTACAGATACAACCCAATAAAGACTGTCTAAATGCATTAGTAGAAATGGGAGCCCTGTCAGATCTATCCACGAATCATCTAGGAGATCTCCTAAGCCATTTATTGCTATCCAAGTAGAAAGCTAAGGCCTTTCTAACGCCCAGCATAGGGAAATAGGATTCCTGCTGGAACTATGAGTTTTTGGAAAAAATACTGGTAGATGGATAAATGATCAGGCGGCAGGTACAGGCGGATCTGCAAACTCTGCCACTGCTGCTATGGGAGCCTCAGCTGAGGTTGGCTGGCCCTGGGGAACCTGCTCTGACTCCATATCCATGTGAGGGGGCAGTGGGAGACTGTTGCCAATTGTCTGTCACCGATCGTCTGTCGGATGCCCCTGAGACCGACCTATGCCCCTGTAACGGGTGGGGAAATCCCCAAGGGTTCCAGAGTTGCTAGGGGGCTGGCCACTGGCCCTGGGGCCATGATGCCCCTGATGGGTGGCCCTGTCCTGCAGGCAGGGTCTCCTCCTCGCTATCAGAGCCGGAGGAGGGGGAGACTTGTCTGGGGGACCAGGACGGTGCCAAGGCCACCTGTCTACCTCGATCGCGTTGGCTCTGGCTGCGGACCTCCATTGAGGACCTGTACAGGGCGATGGCTCTTGGTGCCGCAATCCCAGTGACCGGCAGCAGCATTTGGCAGATCGGCGACAGTACCCCGATGATCTACGCCTTACAAGCAGTGCCGTTCCGTAGAGCAGGAGCAGAAACGGGAGCGAGAAGACCAACGTGTTGGAGACCGTCGATGCACCTGTGGTGAACCGTACTGGTGATCCGGCAACGGGGCTTCAGGGACTGGCGTCTTGACCCTCCGGAGCGGTGCTGTGAGCTGGGAGAGAGACTTGGGTGCCCTGGTGCCGTGGCGCAGCGGGTCTGCGCCAGACCGCTGGTAATGGACACCTAGAGCCTGAGGAACGCTGCTTGGAATCTGGGGACTGACGCCGGGAACTCTGCAGGCAAGCCAGCCTGCATCCGGGGACTGCTGACACTGTTCAGGCGAGCGCTGACAGGGCGCTCCTCCTGCGACGAGGAGCAGTGTCGCACTGATGGGGACCACTGAAAGGGTCCCAAGGCAGGTTTATTCCTCAAACAGGGCACCTCCATGGCTGGCATTGGCAGCACTGGCAGGGAGCATGGATAGCACTGCCAGGTGCCAAGTGCCTCTGCCACTCCCCAGGGTGTTGGGCGGGCGGGCCTTGGAGGAGAAAAGCTGCCCCACACGGGTCTTTGCTCGCCTCTAGCTCTCTCTTTCCCTTTACGGAATGTAGGAAACTGTCCTCTCCTGGCCCTTCTTTCTTGCTTTTTAGCCAGTACTGAGGCTGTGGTGCTGGGAGCAGAGTTTGATCTGGTCGTCTGAGGCCGGTGTGAGGGCCAACTCCATAAGGAGCGCTTGGAGACGAATGTTCTGCTCCACTTTGGTCCGCAGTCTGAAGCTCTTGCAGATGAGACACTTGTCGCTATCATGGGATTTTTCTGAATACTTCAGGCAGCTTCTATGAGGTTTCTTGCAACAGTCACAAGATTTGAAGCCTGGGGACCGGGGCATGCCCCGTCCCTACGCTAAGTCCTGTTTGGGACTAACAAACTATCGCTAACTCTACACTAAGGGGACTATAAAGCTATCAAAGTTTTTAACAACTATATAAAAACAGTTCACAACCAGCCACAGTTGAGAGGAGTGAGCCTGCTGAGGCAAACAGATGTTCCAGCACAGTCACTGGCGGTAAGAAGGAACTGAGGTGTGTGGGGGAGGGGGGGGGAGGGTGGCACCTCTTACACCAGTGCATATGCATGCCACTCCAGAGAGCACCAGAGCTGGTCCCCTATGGATACCACTATGGGAAAAACTTCCGGCACTGGTGCATAGGGCGAGCATACACACCTACAATGGAACGAACATGATCAAGCAGTTGAAGAAAATGAGCATTTCTGAGAGATGTGGGCCTCCCCCAGAAAATGGACACACTTGGAGTGTCCGTCACTCGCCAGTATAGCCTCCTGGCAAGAGAGGTAGCACTGAAACCTGGTGAACCAGGCATACCCTGCTGAACCAAGCTCCTGAGGGAAAAGAGAGGGAAGACTGTTCTCTCATTCTCATATAAACTCTAACAACCCTAAGCCAACTAACTTTGACAGAAAACGAGATCAAGAGAAAAGCAGAGTATGCTTTTGGCAGATACACCTGTATTCTGTCTTGGGCCAAGGCAGCACAAAAGGAACGGAGGATGGTGCGCCCACACATCCCAATAAAGCAGGGGTGGGCAAAGTATGGCCGGGGAACTCGCGCCAGGAGGCAGGGTCTGGGGCTTGCCCCGCTCCAGCCGGGGCGCAGGGTCAGAGGCAACACCCCGTGGCTCCCAGAAACCGCGGCAAGGCCCCGCTCCAGGGCTCCAGCCGGGGCGCGGGGTCATGGGCTGCACCATTGCCCCGCTCTAGCTCCTACACGCTCCAATGGCTCCCTCCAGTGCTCCAATGGGAGCTGCAGCAGGGGTGCCTGTGGACGGGGCAGCATGCAGAGCCACCTGACCATACCTCTGCCTAGGAGCCGGGGAAGGGACATGCTGCTGCTTCCATGAGCCGCTTGAGGTAAGTGCTGCTCAGAACCTGCACCCGAGCCTCTCTCCATGCCCCAACTCCCCACCCCAGCCCTGATCCCCCTCCCGTCCTCCAAGCCCCTTGATCCTAGCCCAGAGCACCCTCTTGCACCCCACACCTCTCATCCCCAGCCCCACCCCAGAGCCAACACCTCCAGCCAGAGCCTGCACCACTTGCCGCACCCCAACCCCCCGCCCGGAGCCCCCTCCCGCACCCTGAACTCCTCATTTCTGGCCCCACCACCAAGACCCCGCATCCCCAACCCAACCCCAATTTTGTGAGCATTCATGGCCCTCCATACAATTTCTATTCCCAGATGTGGCCCTCAGGCCACAAAGTTTGCCCACCCCTGCTATATAGCCTTGGTGTCTGCCATGGGGAGGTATGGGGTGCATGTGTGGGGTGAATGGGCACTGCTAGCTAGAAATCTTTGATCCAAGGTGTGAGAGAAGCATGGGCATCTGAAGTGGAGCACACATAGGGACACTACTTGAAGAAAACCAACTTTTAGGAGTTTTACAGGTATAAGGTTTGGTTATTTTTCTTCTTGACCACAACAGAAATGCATACTGCTGCTGCTTCAGAAAGGTTTGAAGCTAATAAATACTGAGTGAATGCTATGTTTAAGATTGCAAAACAGTCTGGCTTTGACCTCGGTTTTCACTCTCCCAGCTTCCTAAATAATTATTTGTTTGATGGATAAAGCTTTCCATGCCTGGGACCTTGCACAGGAACATGCCAGATAATGACATGCTAGCCACAAACCACCTATGAAGGAAATTCACAGCTGCACATTCTAGAAGGTTTTCAGAGGAGAAAAGGAAATCAGTAAAGCATCTTCCCCCTGGCCCACAATATCTACTTTATCAGTAGCTTCTGAACACATCTTTGCAGAGGCTGGTAAGTTTTCCTGAGAATTTTGCAAAGTAGCTTTAGTGCAATTTGGGGATATGCATTGCTTGAAGCAGGAAAAATCCAGACCTACAGTTGTGAGAGGAGTGAGGGACTGCCTGCTAGCCCCCACTTCGGAAGTAAACAGCACGTCAGGCTGTTGAGCTGACTGCTAAGATTAAGAGCAAGTTATTTCTCAAGGCTACAAAGTAGGACTAAGAAATCATTTATATTTTCAAGTTAGGGATGAGACCATTACAGTTCAACATAATGTTAGTATTGACAGATGTCTGACCATGCTTAGCAGTGAGTTATTATCCAATCACTTCACCATTATGCAGTTCCTCCCCACCCTTCAGGGTGGTTATGACAGTACCTCCCATAAGGCTTTATGGAAATATGCTTAGAATGTGTTTTATGCTACATATGCCATGTAACATATCTCAAAGGCTATGACCTACTGAATGTATTAATCCTATTTGTATGCATGTATCATTTTTGTATTCGAAGTTATGAATGTTGGCTGTGTACTGACTTGATTTCTAAATAACCTTAGTAGAGCATTTGGTCAGTTCCTGGAGAAAGGAATGTCGAAATTAAGTACCTAGTCAAGAAACAGTTAAAGGACAATGGATCTTGGAATGCTCCAATCCACATAAGAGTTTACTTGAGGACACTCAAGGTAGTATGTAAACAATGGATGCTACCTGTAAAAACGGTGAGTCGTGCATGGACAAGCTTTATACAGGGTAAAATGGATTTATTTGGGTTTAGAGCCCATTGGGAGTTGGGCATCTGAGTGTTAAAGACAGGAACACTTCTGTTAGCTGCTTTCAGGTAAACCTGCAGTTTTGGGGCAAGTAATTCAGACCCTGGGTCTTTGTTGGAGCAGATGGGTATGTCTGGCTCAGCAAGACAGGATGCT